TCCTTATTCAAGTTAATTTTCTACATTATGAAAAAGCTCACATAAAAGTCTGCTTGTTATGACGATTAATTGTTGCTGAATCAATTTTGTTTGGTGAAACTGTATTAGAAAATGATCATCACTATCAGGCTAAAGAGACAAAAATATTCAAAAATGATTTCAAGGAACTCAGTGTCAACGTTTTATTTCCACAAATACATAAACGCATAACATGATTTCTAGGTGTCAGTTTTCATCTCAATAGCAAACTTTTAAAGCCATCAAAATAAAAATAGCAATCTATTGTGCTGTAACTCTTATTCAGAGCCATGTTTAAAAAAAACACAGCAACCTATAAATAGGTGTAGGAAAAGAAAAGGTCACTATAGTTGAAAGAAATAGGAGCTGCAGCCAGGACGGATTATAGACGTAGGAAAATAGAAACCGGACTGGGTATCAACTTTGTATAATCAGTACATTATAATCTCAAAGGAGAGACACGTGCTGAGTTTATCGCGTCTTGTAGGAACGGGTCCTAAAACACACATGTTTGCACTTCCTCTCCTCCTCTCTAAATAAATAGGTTTCTCTGAATGTTTTGGGGGTTAAATGCCTGAAATAGTCGGCCTTGGGACATCTTAACATCTTACTCTACGAAATCCGTCAATATTGAATTTTGAAGCTCTTACATTGGTAAAAAAAAAGCGTGTGTTTATTTATTAAGATGATCTTGATTGAGAAGTATCAAAAACTTGATGAGTTTATTTTCTGTAATAATATGAAAACCAGTTTTTGGTGAGGGAACCTGGGTGAACTTACACATAAAACACCGTCGTCCCCCAGAAAAAGCTTAAAGCTCAACCCAATACCCCAATACAACATGGCAGCTAACTTAGATATTAACACATTGTGTGCACTATGAAGATCTCATCATGTGTCCAGTGTTCTTCCCTTTCTTCTCAGCTTCTCTCCTCGAATGTTCCCTCTCAATTTGAACATGAACATGTGGGGGGTAAAATCACAATGGCCGTGTTCACAAAGGAATGTTAATTCCCATGGATAAACTCCACCTCAGTCATAGACACCACCAACACATCATCATTGTACATGTTGGGGGAAAAGTGATCCAAGGCCCTGCAGAGAATGTTTATCCTCTCATAAACACTGCAGACACTCGCTCAAACCTCCATCTCATCCATCTATGCTCTCACAAATTCCATAACTTCAGACCCCATTGTTTAAGTTTCTAGCCTAAATATATCTGACACTCCGCAGATCTTTGAGTAACTAATTATAGTCTGAGGAATCTCCCTTTCAAAACAAAGGCCCTTTCCCTGAACAACGTCTTTTATCAAATTTCCGTGACGCTCCAGCTCCTCTGGGTGCACACCTATCCTCAGCAAAGACGTCCAGGGGGGAATCTTCTCGTTCTTGGTGACAGGAGAGGGCCGGGTCGGCACTGGACTAAGCTGTGGATCACGATCATTCCGCCACACAATATATATTAAAGCGAGGTTGCAGCAAGAAAGTGTTCCAGCAAATGGATTTTTTGGTGATGCGGTAACCGTCGCAATAACAGTTGACTTTGCACTTGTCTGTCTCCCACTGATTATCTTAACTAGTTTTCCGGGCCCCTTGTCCACCTTTGTGCACCATTTAGTTCGGTAAATACGTCTTAACTAAGACATATACCTATACCGTATGTTTTGGACAACAAATCAAAGTTCTTTTCCCCAAATATGTGCAGGGACAAGGAGAGGAGGTTGTTCTGCCACTCCCATTTATGGCTCGGTCAGATCTTGATGTAACAGCTCTCGAATGTGTGACCGCACACTTCTCCTTACCTGAAGCTTTAATGCACAATCCTTCGTAAAACTGTTTTGATCTTTGCACCCACATTGTTGGTTCATCTGTCATATTTCATAGGACCATTAACCATTACCATCTGGTATTTCTGCTGCAACAACCCAATCATTCAACGTTTATCTTATTAGTTTCCACTTTACTTTACGTTGTGGCTTTTCACCAAACATTCAGGCACTGACATTTGGAGAATATTGGGGCCCTATTTTCCGAGGACTGACGCGTAGTTTGCTATATTTGATAATATCATTCAGAGCTAATTTCTAAAAGGCCAGTTATGAGGATCATAATCATGACTCGCCCACAATCTGTGTGTCAGGACTTGCTTGGCATTGGCTTATCTAATGTTTGAGTGAAACCATGATACAGCAGTATGTAATCAGCCTCTGTTTCCACGGTGATGAGCATATTGTTTTCCTGTCTTGTTTCCTGCAGGTTGACAGAAGGAAAGTGTAGGCGGCTCTATTATCGGGACAGTGGTTTCACCCTTGCTACCCAAAATAACCTGCATCCCTCTTTCCACCTTCATATCAGGCTCGCGAGTTGTCAGTTGTTTTTCTCAAGAGGGTCTCTGACAAAAGGAATACTGCTGAAAGGGTGTGCAGCCTCGCTCTACTATTGTATAAAAGAATGTAAATGACCCAAAAGCATAATTTGGGCTGTAATTACCTCCTCTGAAATGTTGTATAACACTTTATTTAGCTCTCCAAGATCATAAAGGTTCCAGATGCCAAGTTCTGAAATGAGATGTTTAGCACTGTGGCTCTGACTGGGGGAACAGTCTGGACACCATTCAGGGCATATAACTCCTATCAGATATCTGTTAATCAGTATCAAGTCGTTCATGGAATTGAGTACATATTAATCTTATTCATCCATAGGTCATTTAGTAAGACAACATCTTTCACACAGGAAATGGGCAGCTAAAAAAAGAGACTCGATGAAAGCTGTAATACAATTGCGCTGACTAAGACGGAGGTGTAGCTCATCAGAAGGCACATCTATTGTGCAGACTCTATTCACCATGAAATGGCCAGACTATCCAGTGTATTTATAGTTTGGCTTTTTGAGGGGTTGGAGATGCAGGTTTCCTCTGTTTGTTCGCTGTTTCTAAGATTAATATGCGTTCGCTGTTTCTAAGTTTAATATGCGGGAGTTCCACACAAGATCTCAGACCGACTGGCGGATAATTCATGTAAAAGAAAACACACCCATTGTGGGATCAATCTTCCTTGTGGGAAAACCCGAGGAAACGGAGGACATGAACAAGACAGAGAACAAAATGTTCCGGTGAGATCTTATTGTAGCTTATCTTACTATAACCATTACCCTGTAGAGTCAGTTAGTGGCTTAAAGTGTGTTCCACAGCCTGGGCCCAGATTAATCTACAGTCATTTTAAACATGCTTGGATTAATTCCTTTTGCTTTGAATCAAAAAGGATTGATAAAATACGCATGGGGAAGGAAAAAGTTTCCTTTTACCCTTTTTGTATTACTATTGTATTTATTGGTTTCTGTTAATAACAATGTAAGTAACCTATTAGTGAGGACCTTTTAGCGAGGCAACACCTGAGAAAAGTAACAATACTATCATAAAGCTAATAGAATACTATGTGAACATGAAGACTGCATTCATTTAGAAGACTTCAAATTACAGGATTTGAGGGAGCACTCTGGTTTATTGTCTCAACCAGAACATTGAATGCTGTTAAGTGATGATTGCATAAAATTAGTTCTTAAATCTTAAAAAACGTGGTTGAGGTTATGCGATATTTTGATAGAAAATGCAGTGCTGGGGTGTAATAAGTTTTAACAATGAAAGATCTGTCACAGGTGCCCCCGCAAAAAAACTTTTTGGGGAAGGAAACATTAAACCGGTTCATTAAAAACAGTTGTCAGCGGCAGTCAGAGTAAACTGACTACAATTTAGGGTCACTGGTTTGCTTTTGTGTGACTTTTCCCAACAGTTCCTCTCATGAAGGCTGCAGTATTCAGCAGGGTAAAAACAACCCCAGACTGGGCAGCTATTCTGACAGGAGGCAGCACTGTGTTGCAGGTTTACTTAATAATACCAGAAAAACAAAGGCTGCATCTATTTTGGTGAGATTATATCAAACTGACTGCTTCAGTATCAGCTCCGCCATCGATGCATTGTTCTTGGATTACTGCAAACATTAAAGTTTCTGGAAAATATGTGAAAATATCCTAATTTTCTTCTTTGTTTGACTTTAAATAAGGATTGTAAATCTACAGCTATTATTGAAAGAAAAATATCTGGTTTGAATTAGTCCTGGGATTAGATAAAATGCAGTGTTAAGGTTAATCTGTGGGTTGTTTGTTTCCAGACTTGTTCATGAACTGCACCTCTGCACTCAGTGGCAAAGTCTTTGCCAGTCCAGCAGATGGCAGACTAATCGTTCTCTCTGATCATTGCTCTTCAAATACATAAACTGCTCACACCATTTTCAACAAATGACAGAAAGACATTACAGTATTCATTCCTTTGATTGCTGTACCCTCTGAAGAGTAAAATGGAGAGAGAGTTCCGATTTCACTTGAATGCAACTTGAAATGTAGATAGCAGTGAATATGAACATTTTTAAGGGAAGACAAAACTGTTCTGTCCTTTCAATATTCCTTACAAGGCACACTTCTAAAACATCTGACCATGTTTTCTAGATAGTTCTCTGAGGATTTGCAACTTTCAAATGCACCATTAAACACAAGCAAGCATTTTTGAGCAATCACTCAGGAAAAACTGGCAAAACAAGTTTTTGGGAAATATTATCACATTAATGCGATCTAACTCTATAGTAGCAATATTTAGGATAGTTATATGCTGTTTTTAAAGTGTAATTAGCTTTATCCAGTATGATTTATTATAATCACTTGTTAACAGTCTCTTAATCTAACAATTTAGTGATGCAAAATCACTAGTGTGCTCCAATGCACATGCTCTTTTTTGTGTTGATAATATGCAATCTCTATCTTATGTGATGCAAAGAGAAGAAATTAATTCTTTAGCTGCCATGGATATACAAAAAAAGGGTCAAACGGAGTGGGAGGAGATCACGTGACTCTGGTTAAACGGCTCTGGGTTCGCTCTGCAGGTGGGGGAGCAGCCGCCACCCTCCGACGAAGTGCGCATGCGCACCATTATTTAATCTCCTTACACAGTTAACGTACAACACCTTTTGACAGCGAAGTATTAACAAACGTTTAAATACAACGTTAGACGGCAGTCTCGGCATTTGGCTGTCCGGTCCATGCAATGCTTGCTTGCTTTATCTTTTCATCCGCTACAGAAAGTTACTTTTGCTACTTCATTTTGGTCAAAAGGTGACGTTAGTTAGTGAAGCTAGTTCCGCCTCGCCCCCCCCCCCTCCCCCCTCTAATGGACAGCGGCGACAAGTGTCAAAAGTAATCCGGGACGAGAAACGACGAGGTACAGACCGTCTGGATACACTTCCACGCGAGGTATCCGGATTCACTGTAAAGGTGAGTCGCCTCTTAACAGCCACGGTAAACCCGTCTCCTTGTCGCTGGAACGACAAGCTCCAGCTAATTCGCGTTAGCTGCCCATGCTAACGCTGGAGTACCGGGACGGGAGCTACCTGTTGCTGGCTCGAGCTTACTTTTAGCTAGCAGGATTAGCATCATGCTCTGTGGCGCTTGTAATGCCTCTTATCTTTAGCTCACGCATCCAGCTTGGGTCGGTCAGTTAGGAGGGAGGCATGCACCGGGACGCAGACATTCGGGCTGTGTAAAGTTGTTATGTTAACTTTCCTCAAATTAGCACGTCATCCGCCACCTGTAACGTTACCTGTCCGCCGTTAGCTTGTTGATATTAAATTCTACGTAACGTAACCGCTAGGATTAGTCTGGATACATTGAAATAAGTGGTTTGTGACATCGGACGTCAGCTGGCGGTTTTTTCCAAGACCCGTAAGATCCGTGTGCATGTATTTATCTGATGTTTTGTACTCTCAATGTAGTAAGGTTACCTCTGAGTCCCCAGACCCTTTGAATGGCGCCTGTTGCGTTACGTAACAGTGGCTTCAGGTGTGAACTATTTGGATGCAACTTGCCTCCATTCCTCCTCCATTCTTTCCCCAGTCCAGGCTACTTGTTTCAACAAGCACCAGGTGCTTTTAGTACTGACTGAAAGCAGCAAAATACGCCCTACAGGACACCAAACAGGGAAGACAAAGGGGAGCTGCAGCTATTTGTTCTAGATTGGCAGCACTGTAATGGGGCCAGCCACGTTAGTGTGCTTTGTATGCAGGCGGTGGGTTGTTGCTGTGAGGGATAACGCCTGACTAAATCCAGAAGAAGAGGTGCTTGTACATGTCGTCCCTATCTAATTGGTTGCAAAGAGGTGGATAACTTTTTTTTTTCGGGAGGAGGTTGAGAAAGGAATGTGATGGGGTATTGGAATTTGTTTTCAGAGGAATCAGCCGGTGGGAAATGGACACCTGCCGCGGTCCACACAAGTGTAATCTTGTTTGCAATAACACGTCTGTGGCTGCCCTCCAACCTGTTGGAGGCCATTTTTACCTCGGCACACTAGGCAGGGTAAACCCTCCTGTTCAGTCTTTGTTAGTGAGGACGTGTCTCAAAAAGTGAATGGGTTTTTATGTAAAACGTTTTGGAAAAGCAGCCTTTTTTTTGCCAAGATCAATGATTTGTATAATTATAATTTTTCTCTTGTACTACTGTCATAAAGAAGAATCTGACACATTGTCAGAATCAATATTTCTGAAACTTCTCTATTTTGTGGTATTGTGCATACCACAAAATAGAGGGTTGCGCAGCGCAATATTTTATTGCGCTGTGCAACCCTCCTCCAACGCATACCCTGATTCCTAAAACCTCTTGAGATTGGCAGCAAACTATGACAGTGTCTGCATTTGGCAGAGCAATCTATGGTCGGTACGGTGGTAATCACTAGAAAACGGATGTGACCGTATCATTTGTTTTGAGCTTTTTAAAATCGTGTTCATCTGTGTGAGACTTGGATAACCAGATGCCGTTATCAGTTGGCAGTCATTGACATTGAAGCCGCTCTCTTCCAAACCAGCCCAGAGCTTGGTTTTTCATTCCACGATTGCCAAGTCGGCAGAATGAACCTTGTGCTGTGCAAGGCTCCATTCTTTTATCCAGTAAACAGGGAGTTCTTAGTCAGCTAATTGGGAGTTTACAGTGAACAAACAGGATTATTAAAAAATATCTTTGAAATGGTTTTATATTGATGAAAATAAACACTGTTTTAGAAAAACAAAGAAAAGGTTGCCTCTTTCTCACAATGAAGAGGATGATACAAAAAAAGTGCAGAAGATCCTGATCACGTCACGTACTTTTAGCTTGGAACCACCTGAAACCAGCCTCCCGTTCTCTCTATTCAACCTTGAAAGAGGACGTACACTTTAACTAAGAGGAAATACTGCAATATCAGCTGATCCTGTAACCAAACCGGAAAATCTGGAATCCAGCAATATTGTTCTTCAAATTGTGCGTGGTGTTGTCTAATCATGAGAAATGTCATGTGGGCGCGATTTCACCACAGGCGAGGAAGCAACGGCTTGAGATGAACGATCACGCGGCATCTCCTCCTCGACCTTTGGATGCCGTGTTAAATAACGACCAGACGAGGTGTGCACTTGTGTGGCTCTTATCCATGTTCACACGGTATTCTGAGGGCTTCGGCATTACAATGCGGGCCTGGGAGTCCCGGCTGTGCAGCGCTTTTTTTTTTTTTTTTTTTACCGGCTTTCGTGCACATTAACTCACCTCTGTGTTTGCGTTGCAGCAGGAGGACATCCGAGAACAGAATTGTGGTGCTGGATCTAGTGAATTATTTGTGAGAGAAGTTCGTATCAACTTCTCACTCTTTACAAGCAGGTTGCCAGCAATCAATAAATGGATGTTTTTTTTTTTATTTTGACTACATGTTGGTTTTCGTAATCCGCTGAAAACCCCAGTTACCAATATTTAGCAGTGATACATACACCCAAGCGCAGTAGAATCTCTCATTTTGAAGTAGTTTACTCTGCCGACATGTAGCCTGGCCTGCAGCTGTTGAGCATGTGTTGTGTATGCAAAGACTTGTCAAACTAGTCTGACTGAGCCAAATGCAGGCACAGGGGTTTTTCTGCTCTTGAGAAAGGTGACTCGCACATTTAATCTACCTCGTTAAACAATTGTTTGTTGACAAGTTCTGTGCAAGAACTTGAACTATCCAAGAAATTTCCATCCAATTAAACTATTAAAGTATCTAATGAACTGCGTTCAGCTTTAAGTTAAAGGGAATTTCTTGCACGAGGAAGCAAGTTGACTATTTATCCCAGTGTTCTAGTTCCTCTTAGTTTATTTGTTTCTATATTTTACAGGTGTGCCGTATCACCTTGCGGGTTTCCGGCCCGGAACCAGTATTGAAAGCTACATTTCACGTACAGCGTTAATGGGGAAGACTTTATCAATGATCCTCAGTAGAAGTACGTTTAACTAAAAAGCGTTTTATAGCTGAATGGTGATGCCACAGTTCTATTTTCTTATTGCACTTTTATTTGATCACAACCACCTTCTACAGCGGAATCCAGAGAGAAACGGTGCTCCTCCGTTCCTAAAGAAGTCCAGCTGATAAGAAGGTGAAACGCTTGCCCCCCTTTTATGCTGTAGTGTACACATTGTGCAGCCTGTTCAGTCACTTTCAAGGGACTTCTGACGTTCCAAAGTTCAGCCCAAGGCTGCCGTTGGGACCGTCTCTGTGCGCGACGTAGCCACACCCGGCAACTTCGACCAATTACAGGCAGGGCCGTCATTTGAGTCAATCGCTGCGTGCAGGAAGAAACCTTGAGATCATTGCATCACTGCCTTCCAACAAGCAACCTGGTGTATGGACTTCTCCTAATTCAGAATTTTGGTGGATTTTAGGTTTCTTTAAAGCCGTGCACTGTAAGTCACTGAGGAAAAGAAATGATGCATAATTTCTGAACCACTTGACTTAGGTTTAATTAATTATCTTTTTTATTTCAGTGCAGTGCTTTTTTTTTTTTTTTTGAACTTCACTGTTTTCAAACTCAATGTGTCACATTATTATTCTTTTAAATATCTTAATTATCCCATCTATGTTTCAGAAGCTACTGACTGCTGAGTTTGGAACACTGATGGAAAATCCTGGTAAGCTTAATTTTTTATATATATATATTTTTATATACACACAATTTGTATCATATGGGTGTGATGTATTATTGCGCTGATAGCCCCAAATGTTAGCAGATTATAAGCTTTTTTTTTAAAGGAGTTTTTTGTGCTGTAGTGAGACTGGCCTTATCTCCTCGATAGTATCGTGATGACAGAAAGTGGTGAGTCAACAAGCGCAGTGTTTGGTTATGAATTTGAGCGTGACGGGGTTGGCCTGGTGTTGCGCAGTGTTCCGATGACACTGCAGCGATCTGATTGGCTCTCCCGCAGAGGACACACCTGTAGGTTAGCAAAGGTGACGGTTTCTCTCGCTGTCACTCGTGTGTCGGTAACGCAACAGCATTTTCTGCTGAGTGGGCTGAGCAGTAGCAGTGTATTTATCAGTGGGAATATACCGAGGATGGCTGTTCAGTCTGAGTGCATTCGTGAGTAAACCTGCTTTTTATCTGATGTTATGCTGAACAGCGCTTTCTCACCTCACCTGATTTAAACTATAATGATCTTTTCTTATTTTAAGCTGACGAAATTTTCTTTGCTGAAATAATATTCATAGAACTATTGTGATACTATTTTTAAATATGATTGCTTTTGGTCCATTGAAAGTCTCGACTGGAGAGGGCAATCCCTTTTTTATTGGCAGGTGGGCCACGGCAGGAACAGATTAAAGAGGGCTGATCTTCTCCTCCCTGCCTTATTGTCCGAGCATAACAAATAAATTGTATGTCCTCTAATTGTTCTCAAAGCGATGTGCTTCACACAAGACAACACGGCTCTCACACGGGCAACAACAACTCATCACATGACCTTGAAATTTGATCCAATGGGCAGGGTGGTTTAGCGGGTTTGCTTGCTTGTGTTACATTATATTAGCGTTTGAATGTTTTGGAGTTGTCACGATGACGCGGTCTGATTATGTTTGTATGAGTCATGGCTTCGTTCAGCTGGGCTTAGTGTTCACATGTTGAGAGTGGATTGTTTACGAGCCTGAAAGAAAAAACTAGTTTGTCCCCATCTGCTGCAGCTCTCTGGTTAACAGTGAAGGATTTCAGTGCCCCAATTAGTCATACTTCTGTGATCCCTCTCTGTTTACTCATCATTTCCGCCGTTTACCGAAAGCTTTTACCTGCATTCCTCACATTCCGCTGTCGAGGTGCTGTAGCTTCCCTCGGACACCAGATGGCGCAACAATGATGTAACATTTTTCTCCCGACGGATTTATTTTCATTCACACCTGACAAAGCCTCTTTCTATTTTTACCTTTTAGTAATTCCAAACTTTAAATATTATGTCCTAAATTAGTAGCTTTAGCACTCAAACATTTTTTTTAGGAAATATAAACATCAGGTCTCCCTGTCATCAACAGGTTACTACACTGGTTTGTCTTTTGAGTAAACCTAGAACTTTGAAAAAATGATTAGTCTTATTAGCAGTTAAATTAAAAGGTTAACCTCCCTTCTTTTTGTTTGTTTTTGTAACTAGCATGCATGGAAGACTTCCTCTTACTCCCACACACTGATTACAGATAACTTCGTCACGCAGCGCTCTGATAGAAATGTGCAGACGCAGAGGGCCTTTAGACGCGTTCTGGCCTTGAGTCTGCTCCGGTTGTTAGGGTGTGTTTAGAACTCTGCTTGGAGATGCTCTTAGATGTGTTTCTAGAAGATTAAGAGCGATTATATCATGTAAAAGTAAGGGGCAGGTGTTTTCAGTACAGTTTTTTTTATTTGTTATTGTGCTGATTTCTAAAGATACAGCTCCAAATTATTCAAATTCACTCTAACCAAGTGGCAGGGAAACGTTATAATAAAAACGTATGTACCGAAATGGTGAAATAAACCTTGTGCTGTTGTAAAACGGCGTCGCTAATATCTACCAAAAGTGTCATCAGTTGGAATTTCATAGCTTGAAAGTGCAAACCGTGGACTCATCCGACACCGGTGCCGTGTCACTTCCTGTCCTCCGGCTGTGGGCTCTACCTCGGATCGACTCACCTTCCACCTCTCGAGTTACCTCACCCTGCGCCGTCCGCCCCTCGCCCCTTTGGGGAGTATAGTTTCGTCGGTTTGGGAAATGTTGCTGGCAGGAGGGCCCCCCCGCTGCATCGCAAATCTCTCTGAGCTCAATGTCTCATCTGGGCCAAACCTCAAAGCTCGCCTGCCGTGAACTTGGCCCCCGAGAAATCTGCCCTCCGGAATGAAAAGCATCTGCCGGATTACCATGTTGCCGTACCTTATTTATGAAGTCAGAGCTACGTGAAGGGAGGGACCGAGCAACTGTGTTTGCATTTAAAGGGAGAGAAAGAAGGAGGGAGGAAGGAGTGGGAGAGACCAAATCACACAGGCTGAAGGAGGGTGGGGGGGGGTGGGTTTGGAGGGAGAGCGAGACCAGAGACAAGAGAAACCAAACGACACGGGTGAGCAGTCAGGACGGTGTTAAGTTACAGGAGCTCCATGCCTGCTTGAGGAAGAGCGAGGCGGCGTTAGGTTTTCCTCTCCCGCCTCCGGCCCCGGGGGAGGCAGGGCCCGGCAGGCCAGCCGGGACGGGAGTCTCAGCATGGGAAACAGTGCTAGCACGGAGACTGTGGCCCAGCAACCGGGCCAACGCGACGCGGGTGAGTCAAAGGGCAACGGTCGCAGCGAGCGGGTAGAGCCGTCGAAGGTTAGGACGCCTGGTGTGTTTGCTTTGGGGAAGATCCGCCGAGCGGGATTCTCTGCTGAGGTGGGGTGTTTTTATAAAAAAAAATAATTTCGAAGGCAGAGAGCAACAGGCACAGACGGGTATAGAAGAATGCGTGCAGATGGAATGTGGTGATTGCGAAATGTACAAACTACACAAACACCTCTCTGTCTGCGCGCCTTCTCACCACGGACGCTCCCCCCCCGCCCCCCCACCCCCCAGAGAAAACAAGATTGGGGGGTACAAGGCACCACCTGACACCAGCTCGCCCATGTGGTTGTGCGTTTTTGAATTATAATTATCTGGCTTCTCAAGTCCTTTTTGTAGTCCACAGGTGTAAAGAGAACCACAAAGCCCCCGTCTCTCGGGCAATGCTTATAACGGTCTTAAACCTTCAGAATGAGTGTTTGCTGTCAAAAGCAGGATCCTCTTTCATGTGCTATTTGCGCACCCGCAAATCATCTTTTGATTATACAGTTGGTAGCTATTTAGATCAAGCAACTGCAACACAGGCTCTGCAGAACATCCTCGTCCCTAAAGTGCTGACACTGAGCTGTTGATTGTTGGCGCTGCTGACTTCTAATCCGTAGGACTAATATTTGCTTTATGTGTTACTGAGGGCTTCTGTTGAAACACTTAAAACTTTTTCCTAAACAAGCAACATCCTCTTTGCTGATTACGGAACGCATTTCAGCCTCTGGCGTACGATTCTGTTTAGTCGGTGTCATGTGATTGGCATGAGTTATACGGACAGCTTGACCCGAGGTCTTGAAGGTATTGCATCAGTGCTGAGTGCACGTTTCATGCCTTTTTGGGCAGTAGTCCTCTGGGCCTGAATGGTTGAACATTTACAGAAGCCTCCGCGTTGTTACTGCTGTCTAAGGTTTTGATGAATCAGACTGTTTAGAGTCACTATGGGTTGCATACCCTTTGACTTTCACCGCCTCTGTCAGGGTTCGTAACCGTTTTCTAAGCCGCCGTCTGAGATTGTCGTGCTCCACCGCGCAGGGTCACCGCGTCGCACTCTGCTTCGATCAAGTAGTTCCCTCCCCTCCCCCCCCCCAGTTCACTTCCACACCACCCCTCCCTGTTCACCACCCGCTGGTGCCCGGGTCAGAAATAGCTGTGCACGCTGCACCGAGTTCATTGACCTCTGTGCTCACATGCAGGCAAAGGCCTGCTCCGCTTCATACGGTGGTTGGATGCAAAATAAGACTTTATGAACAACACTGCTGCAACAGTTGGTCATACGTGGTTACATGCCATGTAACAAGCCCCTGGATATGCAATTAAACTGGGTGTATCGTAGCAAAAACTACATTTTAGATCCTTTCTGAATACATGTGCACACAAAAACTGCTCACACGTTAGCGGTAACGGGCACGTTCGTAGAGAAAGAAACCCTGAACTGACCTGCTGTTGCGAAGCTTTGACATTTTTATCGATTGCGTGTAGACAAAGAGACAATCGTAGAGGCGGTCAAGGCTGAAGAGTACGCATCTATCTGCTCTGCATGAGATGCAAGATAGTGTTGCAATGCAATAGTTTTGAGATGCCTCACGACATGTTGGGCTAGTCTGCCTGCTGATGGGCGTTGTGCTCCAGCCACACAGCCACTGCTGTGGCAGCAGAGTCAAACTGTTTACTTTGACCGTGATAAAGTACAGATGTCTGCTGCTCCCTCTGACAGAACGCGCGTTCTATCAGGAAGCTAGTTAGCTGCAGAATATTAGTGTGGAACTGGTTATGTCACATAGAAGTAGACGGTCTGTTGGGGAGATGCTGGACCACATATGGGAAAACTACTTGCCTGTTCTTTATAGAACTGGGTGGAGCCCGAATCAGAGAGCAGACGCACAAGTCTGTTTTTCACCTCCGTAATTGCGCATTCGATCACTTCAAAAAAGCTGCCAATAGAAACTGAAAATTGCAAGTGTCTGGTAATCCTGTAACGATTGTGCTTCTTCTTCATGCGTTGGTTGGGTTTGCCTCCTCCACATCTGCCAGAATCTCGCTACCTTGCAATGCCGCTGAATTTTGCGAATGTCATGTGAGAATTACCCGGAGCGTTCTGCCCAATGTCACAGGACGTGAATGAGATGTGGCCTAACATGATGGACACTCAACGCAGCTTAACCCAGTCATGTATTGATTAAAGGGCTGCAGCCCACAAATGATCAAGTTGAAAATTAAAAATACCCCCCCCCCCCCTCCCCCATTGCCTTGACAACATGCAGAAGTGCTTCTACTGTTCACTAATATTTGTCCGGGCTAATGTGTCAGTAATGTCAAAAGACGCTTAGATGAAGAGCTGCAGGAAAGCAGCTTACTGCGATCGCAATGAGGGCAAGATTCTATCACATGTGGAGAAATAAATGTGTTGTCACTGTTGTTGGTCGTCCATGGCACTTTTATCTTGACCGTAAAGGAACGAATGAATGAAAAGAAACTACAAACCTGGACATCTGCAGTGCCAGCTCTTTTACTCCCGGTCAATCTAGTCAGTGATTAATAAACAATGCCGTAATCATTAACACCTCTGTTCCATGAGCATGCTTGTGCCTAAGCTGGCTCCTGATATTTACATTTGTCCCTGACCTTGAAAAAAAAAAACATCCGCAGATTGTAAAAGCTACAATTTGAATTCCTCGATGAAACGTGTGTGACAACCAGTTGTCTGATGTTGGTTCAGCCTGGAATCGGTCAGTAATGTGTTTGATGGATAGAAACCATCCTATATCTTTCCTCTCCGGACCCCATTAGTCTCCCCCGTATTTGTGTGTGTGTGATTCTAGACTGGTTTCATACTTTATTTATGTGGCTTGATAACGTGCCAATATCTGATATAGAATTGTTAAATTCTATGGTTTTCTTCCAACGATTTTAGTTATGATTTTTCCTAGGTTTGTTTTGATCCTGTTATTTTTTTATTTTTTTTATTCTCCTGAAATATAACTACCGCAACAAATTTCTTCCTATGTGCCCATAGCCTGTGTCACCTTCACACTGTCATAAGGCTCTACTGGGTAAGATGGGCTCAGCTTATGGTACATTGGATGCTTCATGCAGGTTCCCTCCTGCCTGCACATAAACCTTCTGCGGGCAGATGTTTCGCGGTGTGACTCCTCACTTAAACCTCCTTAATGGCGGCTTTTCACCCAGCTCCTGCTGTCTTTTTAATTGCATAAGAACAAACGTAGGAAAATACGGTTCATGTTTTATATTTTTAGTTTCTGTCAAAGCGGTGTGCTTATCTGCTTTGTAATTACGGTGTTTTTTTTTTTTTTTAAAGGGATGGCAAACCTGACTCATGCCGAGGCTTTTCCACGGTCCATTCGGAGCCGATCCCCTTTGTGGCAGATTTCGCATTAATTCACACGACCCTGTAGAAAATACCAGCAAAAGCGGTGCCAATATCTCACCGCCTGGCTCTCAGATGGCAGCTGAGGCAGCCAGGCCAGTGATTGGGATTTGGACCAGCCGTGTCCCTATTTTTTTATTTTTTATTATGGCAGATGCTTGGAGCTGAGCTCTGGCACAAGACCGGACACGCATACCTGATCAGCATTCTAAAAGTGTCTGCTGCAGCCACGGGGGAGGCACCATCTACTTTATATGATTGTCTCCACATTCTCACAGTGTAGGATGCTCCTTCTATATTGTATTTCTGGATGTGGGCATTTAGCGAGGTTGAAAATTAAATTCCACTCTGCCAAATTGCTGATTAGAGACTTGCCGAGAATTCTGTGCTAAGCCTAAATAATATCTTTGTTTGCCAACTGGGACTTTTCAGTTCCATTGACACAAACAATGATTTGTTATAGAACACGTAAAGTCTTTCATCATTGTTGATGTTGTTCATTCAGAGCCTTTTTAAACGTTTAACTGATGTGCGACTGCTGGTGAAGTGCGTATTGATCTCTCGCTGTGTTACACTGCACTAAATGCTTTGACCTTCTGGAGAGATAAAAATCCAACCTTCTAAAAAAAAAACCCAAAAAAACATGAAGCTTAACGTTTGCAAAGTACCTCTCTAAACTATTTGCGTCGTCTTCGGTCCCGTTTGTACAGACGATGAGGTCGACCTGCAGCACAGCACCACAGGGGGTGAAGAAGGAAACTCTGGTGGGGGAACACCTCCGACCAAACGCAAAGGCAAGTTCTCCAAGATGGGGAAGATCTTCAAGCCCTGGAAATGGAGGAAGAAAAAGCCAAGTGAGAAGTTTGCTGAAACATCGATAGGTACGCTGGATACAAAGACTTCTTATTGCCGTTTGTTATCTGCGCTACATGAATCTAATTTATTTTTTCTATTTTTTTCAGCCTTGGAAAGAAGAATTTCTGTTAGAAAAAGTCGCCAAGAGCTGATTGCCAGAGGCGTTTTAAAGGATGTCCCAGAAAATGGTAGGTCAAACTTCAAGTCGTTATTATTATTATTATTATTATTATTATTATTAGTCTGTTAAAGAAGATAAATTGCCTCCTTTTGTAATAATCCTAACTGTGTTTCCCCGACAGAGAGCAGCAACGACGTGAATCACTCCAAAGCGCCGCCGGTGAAGAACGGGCACCCCGTGGACGCGGACAAGACGTCTGAGCCCGTGCGAGTGTCCCGAGGGGAATCCGACCTCAAGGTGACCACCCTCCGGCTGCCCCAAGTAGACGAGCGCCGAGGCCGAGCGCCGTCAGACGCCTCCCGCAGTAACCGGGCGCCGCTGGACGTGGACTCCCACGTGCGCCTCTCCGCGGACATGGACAAACGGAGCCGCCTCCCCTCAGACGTCGATAAGAGGGCGGGATCGTTGCCCCGAGGACCTCCGCAGGACGACCGATACCGCAGAGAAGAGAAGCGGGACGACCGGGAGGACAGAGGAAGAAAGACTAGGGAGGACGCAGAAAGGAGGGACTTGCGAGAGGAAAAAGAACGGGACGGGGGAGTCGAGCGGAGAGACAGGCGAGAGTGGAAGGATGACAGGGAGAGGAAAGACGACAGAGCGGAGAGAGACAATAGGGAAAGACGAGACCGCGAGGAGAGGGAAAGGAAGGACCGGGACGAAAAGGAGCGCCGAGACCGGGACGAGAGGGAGCGTCGGGACGAAAAGGAGCGCCGAGACCGGGACGAAAAGGAGCGCCGAGACCGGGACGACAGAGAAAGGCGGGACGACAGGGACAAAGATAAGGATCGGCGGGTCGAGAGGGACAGGAGAGAGAACCGAGATCCAGAAGACCGGGAGAGGAAAGACGACCGAGACAGGCGAGACGACCGAGAGAGAAAAGAGGAAAAGGACAGACATGACGACTGGGCCAAGAGGAACGAAAGAGAGCGGCGAAATGAGCGGGACAAGAGGGAGGAGAAGGAGAGGAGGGAACAGCCGGAGCCTCAGCGGCCTGCGGATGAGCCGCGGCCAAACGGCAGGCACGTCCCCGAGGTGGACTTGCGCCCCCCCCTCCAGAAGTCCTCCTCGGAGGACAACAAGAGGGCACGCGCAGCCTCCGAGGCCGACAAGAGGACGTCTCTGCCCAGATACAGTCAGGCTACAGAGTTCAGAGACCGCTCAGGTAACAGCTGCCTGTTTTGTTTTTCTTTCAGTTTTCTTTCAACTTTCCAGCTCGCGACGCTCTCCTCTTAATAAAGTAGAATAGACGAAACTTTCAAAGCTCACCAGTTTATGAAGATATTGTGTGCCTTGCCCTAAATGCTTGTTGCTTCAGCCTGGAGTTTGAGATTTGTCTTTATTGCACACCAAATTGTTCATGTGTCAGTGGACAAAGAATTTCTGTCATTTTTATTGTGTCAAGTTGGCAAAAATACTGACTGACTTTATTTTGGTTCTGCCAACCATTTCCCCAGGAAATCTTCAATGAATGTTTTGCTCTGATGAAACGCCAGCATGCGTGCTAACCAAAGTCTCCTGATAGTGTAGATGATTGAACTGCATTTCCTTATGAAGCCAACCAGCTTAATTTGACTGGAGCTCTGATACTGCAGAACCAGCTGCTCCCGCATGGATTTTGGATTTCGATTTGTCTGCTGTTTGTAGAATGGAGATTTGTCTGATTCATGTTCCCTCGAGTAACCTTAACCACGAAGTATCTTCTTCAGTTAACATTAGACTGCATGTGATTGCAGCTTTGTGTTTACTGAGAGAAACTCCTTTTTGTTGTGACCTTTCCTGTAATGTGTGTGTGTGTGTGTGTCCTCTCCGTAGAGTCCGTTGGCGTCCACTTCACCCCAGAACCTCGTCCACCAAAAGACTCTCAGCATGAACTCCCATCAAGCAGACAGGCGCTGCAACCCCCTAAATTTCTTACTGCTGCTCCCACCTCTTCTTCGTCTTCGTCCTCTTCCTCCTCATCCTCTTCCTCCTCTGTTGCCGTGGCGAAGCCCCCAAGGACAGTGTCCCTCATAGTTGAGGACCTGCCGCGACCAGCTTCTTCGGCGGACTCCGACCCGCCGCCGGTCCCCCCCCACGCCAAGCAGCCCCCCGTGCCGCCTCCCAAACCCACCCACCGCAACAGCAGCCCTGCACTGTTTGGTGAGTTTGTAGCTGTGGTGTTTGTGTATCTTTCCTCAACCCAGACTACTGCTGCAGTGTTTTCCGCTAGTCTCAAAACGTGTTCAAGGCGTTCAAGTCCCTGTGAGTCAACGGCCTGTTGAACCACAAGCGTGTGAGTTCAAACATGCCGGAGTAGTTTGAATGAAGAGAAGGCGGAGCGGATTTCCTAATGACGGTTACCCAAAAACCGGTTGCACCGCACACATCAGTAGTTACAAATGTCTTTGACATAAATGCGCTGCTTTCATACATTACATAAATATATTGAATGTTCTTTCTTAATTCAGAATGTTCTTTCAAATTACTTTAATGTAATTTAGCAGAACATTAATGTTATTTCAGTGAGTCGACGTTGCTTAACTGCAATTCAATTACGACCTCACTTCTGAGTCATTTTTCAGCACCAATTTACAAAGCGAGATGCTCTCGACTATTTTCTGCTTCTGACAAAATGTACTTCATTTTTGAGTCAAAGAAAGCGAGTGACAGCGACGTTTTTTCCCGTCTTGTGGACGCTATTACAACAAACTTCCTTTGGGACTTAAGATCTACTGTTGTCCAGGAAGGATATAGTCTCAGAGTGTAAATCTCTCCCTGGCCTCCCTGTGAGGCTCGACGCTTTGATGGTGTTTTCCTGTGTCGCCGTTGTGCAGTTTCTGTGTGTACACCCACTGGTTTCTGGAGAAACGACGTGCGCCGGCTTGTCTTTGATTCATTCCTATGCGATTCCAGCACATTGTCATATTCTTTGTCCCACAATGCCACCCGCAGCCCATCCCAGCACTGTCTCTTTAAAACGGTATCTGTGGCAGTGACACATTCTCCAACTATCTGTTGGGGGAAGGTTTCCAAACATTTGGTACCTTTTCATGATTGCAGTCTGCGCGGAGTAGCTTCCAATCTGTGACCTTTCTGTCCGAGAGCGTTTCTTTGTGAAGAAACACACTGCCTGTATGGAAATGCACGATTAGGATCACTGAAATATGTTTAGCTTAGTATAAAAATGTGGCACAATTTCTAAATCTCCCTCGCCGGTGCTCTCTGGTGGAGAAACACTTTACAAGTCACCCTTTTATTTGAATAACTTCAAAATGGCTTAGCATTTTTGTACTGCAATTTTCCAGACAAATTTCTGCACACCGCCGATATCGGCTGATTTATCGCGCTCTCTGGGTTTCTCTAAGATTTATTCCCTGAGGGTACCGAGCGTCGGAACTTCCGTCTTGTGCTCAGTTATTCCTCCACAAAGGCGCTTTTGGGGGGGCGGAGAGGTGTGCACTCCTCTTCTTGACAGTGTCTGACACCAACCCCCCACCCCCCCTTCGTGAATTTGTCGCCCATTTTTGCCAGCTTCCTCACTGAACAGGGGCTCTAAGGTCAGGCCGCCCCCTCATTGGACCTGCTGGAGGCGCCAGAGCGAGCAGGGCCTCTACCTCTCTCTCCCTGTGTACCTGCCTCACAGAGCCTCCCAGGCCCGCTCAGGTACCCGGCAGGGAACCAGCTCTCCACCCGTCTTAACAGAGCCTGCATACTGGTTGCATCAATTCACCCCCACCACAACGCGTTTTGAGTGACCTCAGTTCTAACATTAACAGTGCAAGCATGTGTATTGCGGTTGTGATTTAACGCTAAATGCTGCATGGAAATAGGACATTTATTGTGCTGCAGTGCTTTGAATGTGTTCATTGAGCCTGATTGCTTCCACTTCCAGGCTGCTGATTCCGTTGTGTGTTAATGGGGGGGCGTCACCCTCCACTGACACAGAACCAACTCGGCAGTAACCTCTTTTCTCCACAACAACTCGTTGACATTTTTCCGCTACAGACTGAACGTGGTTTTGATTCTGAGCATCGTTCTGTGCAACATGTACTGATTTCTTCTGGGGTTTTTTTTTTAACAGCTGAGCTCACGCAGCCCGTCAGTGGTGTCATCATAGTGCCGGCGCACGGCAAGCGCTCGCCACCAACGCCCCCGAAGAGAATGACCCCCGTCACCAAGCGCCATTCCGATGACCCATCGCCTCCCAATCCGGACCCGAAGCCTCCCACCACGGCCCCAGCTCCGCTCCCCGTGCCGGTGCCCCCTGCTGGCCCGAAAGGAGACGGCAACGAGGAACAGGCGAACGCAGCCACGCGCCAAACCTCCGCTGAGTCTCCGCCGTCACCGCCAACCCACATACCCCCATCTCCTCCCCGGGTTCAGTCCCTCCAGCAGCCCAGCAAACTTCCCACTGGTCCCGCGCCACCCGTGAAAATCGATCCCCCCAGCCCGACCACCGAGCCTCCCAGCCAGCCTCCCGCCATCCCCCTGCACATCCTGATCCAGAGAGCGCTAAAAAGCCCCTCCCCGGCGCAGGCCAACCCCGACGGCTCCCAGAGGGCCCACTCGCTGCTGTTTGAGCCTCCTCCAGAATTCCTCACCGAGTTGGGGGGCAACTCGCGCCACTCTCTCCCCGTCACCATTGAGCCTCTCCGGCTGTAAGTGCCGAACAAATCTTTGCTTTTGAAATGAGCTTTAAGTTTAGAACAGCGTTTAGAAGCTCTATTTTTGGAATTGTGTTCTTTGGTTCATATAGACAGAGTAAATACATGTGCATGTGTCACTGTGAAACTTTCAGTTACCAAATTCACTACTAAAAGGTTATTTCAGTCCCCTTTTCAGGAATCTTTTGTTAAAACTGCCCTATTGCATACATTTATCACCATTTCTGTGATTTTATACAAATGAATAATTGATAAATCAACAAAGAAACTTAGAGTTAAGGACTATGCTTCATATTAATACATGATTTGCTCTTGTTTAAACACCCGTGATCTTTGCTCAAATTAGTCAAAGCAGGGGTTCTGGGTAATTCTATGAAAGTACATCTCTGAACTATGCCTTTCTTGAATGTATCCCAATTGGATTAATTATTTTTTTCTACGTAGATGAACTGAGCAAATTGTTCTAATTAAAAAAAAAAAAAAAAAAAAAGTTCTCAGGACCTGAAGGTGAAAGTAATTTGCTCCACAGTTACTGGCAGAGAGCAACACGCTTCAGCCTGCTACCAATTCCACATTCTGGTTACACGAGGCCCAACGTGAATGCTGATTATCCTCACAGAAAAATAACTGGATCCGAGCGTCGTCGGCTCTCTCACAGCTGCACTTGTTCACAGGCAAGAAGACGACGACTTCGACATGGAGGAGGAGCTGCAGAAGCTTCAACCCAAGAGGCTTCCTCGCCAGCCCGATATGGAGCCCCGCAGCAGAAGGGGTTTAGTGGGAGACCCCCGAGTGAGTGTCATCCACGAGGTGGGAGGCCCCATGGACGGCGAGGATTCAGACTCTGACGGGCCCGTCCTGTACCGCGACGAAGAGGAGGACGAAGAGGACGAGGACGACCCTCCTAGTGAGTTTGTTTCTTATACTGCTACATGTAGATGTAAATGACTGCATGTGCCCCGGCTAAAAAGATACCGTAGCTAGAAATTTGTTAATTCCTTCCATAACAAATGATTTATCTTTGGGTTTTGGGCTCCGTATAAATAAACTAAATGTGTCCTATGTGAAGCAGGTGGGCTGGCAGGTCGTGTCAAGAGGAAGGACACGTTGGCCTTGAAGCTGGAAAAGCAAGAAAGAGAGGAACGGGAATCTCAGGAGAACCAGGACAGCATGAGTTGGCAAAACAGGGAGCAGTGGATGGCAGTGAAGAACAAGATCGGCACGGCACTGACGAGGTAAAACACTCCCATCGGGTCCTAATACACGTGATGATTCATACCCTCCCAGTAACTTTCATCCATCTGATAAGATTGGCTCATGCAGTTTGTTTCGTACGTTATTTATAGCGTGATTATAATTGTTTTGAGGTTAGTTGGAACTCCTTTCACGAGACAAAATGTGCCTTTTTAGAAAATGAGTCAACGGTGTTTTGTGTCTTCAGGCGGCTGAGTCAGAGACCAACAGCGGACGAGTTGGAGCAGAGGAACATCCTTCAAGGTAAGACTCTCCACCCCTAAATCTGTTCTCTGCAGCACAGAAAGCGCCTTCTTCACTTTTCTTTCATTCTCTGCCGAAATCAACAGTGTGCACAAATTAGTCAAAAAGCTTTGTTTATCTTTCTTCTCCTTCCCGCCTCAGGGACATGGTCTGTAAACACACAGCGCTTTGCACAATATTGGTGACATAAGAGCCACATGTCACATATACACACTGCATGATTAATCATTTACTGTGATGAACTTTGGATGCCCAAATGAATATTGAGTCAACAGAACAGAACTGTTGACTCAATATTCATTGAAACATGTTTTGAGTGTTGATCATTTTATTTGAAGCACTTGGTACCATCTGTTTTGATAATAAACAATTGGTGTAATTACGATTTGACAAAGTAGTAATAGGTCGGACTCATAGGTTTTCCCAACTGGGTTTATTGGCGCTTATTCTCTTATTAACAAAATACTTTGCAGAATCTGTCAACAAGTTTTGATCCGCGGCTCGTAACCAGCACACTGCGCTCGCCTGTCCTCACGACCCTCGGCACCCGCGCTGAAACAAAGCAGCGCCTTGTGCGCTGCATGGCGGCAATTAGAGATTCTGTTACGGTGGAATCTACCTTACTGGCTGCAGCGTCTCCCCCTCTCATGGAATGTCTTTTCTCCCTGCAGCCAAGAATGAAGATGATCGGCGAATGGAGCGATCCGAGATCAAACGGAGGCTAACGAGAAAGGTCAGGGTGCAACCAAGTAACCGTGTCAGACATTTGCCGTTAAAAAAAAATGTTTTATTGAACCATGGTCTCACTACACGTGCTCCTGTCCCCTCCGTCTTCAGCTGTCCCAGAGACCCACAGTGGCTGAACTCCAGGAGAGGAAGATCCTGCGTTTCCACGAGGACGTGGAGAGCACACACGCGCACGACTACGACCGGCGAGCAGATAAACCGTGGACCAAGCTCACGCCTGCTGACAAGGTGAAACTCAGAACCTCTTTCCTCGTGCTAAAAGGGCTCCTATGTCCTCGGGTTTCTTAGCTCCAACAGTTACTTTTTTTTTTTTTTACGGCCAAGGATTTGCATTTCAAGCAGATTCAGTGATGAGGAGAATCCTCGGGAATACAATGCAGGCACTGCTTAATGACTGTGCTGAGTATTAGCAAGTGAATCACCTGGTCCAGTGAAGCTCAGAAAATATCTAGGAGCAGGAGTTCAATGTATGTTAGAACATACCTTTATGTTAAATTAAAAACCCTTTCTCTTCATGTTAGCCTGGAACATTAACAGACATAAATAATGTGAATACAGGCAGCTTTGATCTTTGTCCCCTCGCTGGAAGCGGGTAGAAACTTCCCTCGCTCAGGTTCCGTTCATGTCTCCTCGCAGGCTGCCATCCGCAAGGAGCTCAATGAATTCAAAAGCTCGGAGATGGAGGTTCACGAAGACAGCAGGATCTATACCAGGTCAGGCTCGTACACGGCGCCCCGTCAATACGTGTCATGTCTTTATGAGATGTGTGCAGGCTCTCTAGAATAACCTCTGTATGCTTTTGCTCTCTTCCCACCAGGTTCCATCGGCCTTAGCTCGCCCCTGCTGACCAGTAAAGCACTTACACTGGGACTGGCGAGGAGTCTCTCTCCTCACTGTGAGCCGAGCACGTGGCCCATTTGGTCCGGGTTTTTTTTTTTTCTTTGTTGTTATTGTTTGGAAACCGAGGTGAAAAAAAAAGCCACAGTCCAGCCTCAGAGAGGCTCCAGTTCTCAGGACTGTGGCATTCAGGGACCGGAGGAGTTAGTTGGTGCATCCACAACGGAGGTACCGTGTGCCAACACTAAAAGAGGGAGAACCTCGCGCCCTCTGCCGGGGAAGGGGGGGGGGGGCTCCGACAGACTTGGATTGGACTGAAAGGAGACCAGTCCGAGGGTGATCACACTGTGTCCCTCAGGGGAAAGCGTTCTCCACATGCCTTCACCCGCCTTTACCTTCTACTTCCTCTTTGTTGCAAAACACAACTACGCACGTAGGAGATCACTGTAGTTTCGATGGTACCACCAAACCGCTGTGAACTGCGCTTTACGCGTTGGGTACTACAGATGTCTACGCCGCAACCTGCCTTACTTATTTAAGGTTCACACAAAAATGTGACCGCTTCCGTACAGCAGTGTGTTTTCTATTTAAGGCTCAGTTGTAGCTCTATTTGATTTGAATCAAAAGGTTTGAGCCTCCATAGCGCTGATTCCTACCTAATATTTGAAAGTGTGCATTTTACTGTATGTTGTTCATTTAAATGATTCTCATGGAGCACGTGTCACTACAATTTCTTTCTAATAAGGCACTTTATGTTCCTTAATAGGGAGTGTAGAGAATTCAATAGTTTGGAGCCTATAATTCTGTTTATAAATGAAATATTCAAGCAGGAAAATGTACATATTTTTATTTTCCTGGCTATTTTATGGTACTTTATATATGCACGTCCATATTTGGCTGCAACTGTATAGATGTGTAGATGTGATAGACTTTATATTGTACATCCACATTAATGCTGACATGTTTTAATTGTAAAGTATTTCTCAAATGTGTTTCCGTAGTAATGGTACAAAATGTTTCCCTTTTTTTTTTTTTGATACAGAGATCTTTAAAACCTTTTTTGCAAAGCACACTGGATAAATGAACAATCCACTTTGGAAATTAAAATATTCTGTGATTTTCATTTCATTGTGGTTCTTCAGCCAGTCTGCCGACTCTTCAACGTCTCGTATGTGCTGGGGAATTATTCATTTGAAGGCCGGATCCCATTCAAATCCCCCAGTTGGAACACTAGAAGTCGCCATATCTGCAAACTTTGTCCAAGGGAATTGCACAAAGTTCATAGCTATGTGTCGTTAAACATGCAGTTACAGGAGGATGCATACAAAAGAAAAAAGATGGCCGTACATGCGTGTTCGGCCTGCCACGTTCGAGCCTAAATAAGTACATGTCTTCTTAAAGTGACCAGAGGAGGGCAGTGTTTTATCAAACGTGCAGAGTGATTTACCGTCCGTTCTCCTCCGACTACAATCGTACGTGCCAAGACCCACAAATCCTCTTAAGACCTCACAGAAAAGCGGACCTCTGTGTGCTGCTGATAAAGTTATTTGTCCCTTTTTTAGCTCCCCTGTGATGCCAATTAGCAGCTAATGGACATGGAGTGAGTCAACAGGAACAAAGCTATCCTCCACTTAGTGTGCCGACACCAACTGAATGTCAAATGATTATCGGAACAATTGGAGGCATTCACCTTTTTTAATCTGATTAATTGTTTAAGTATCCTCCGTTTTTAGAACACTTTAAAATCCATGTGATAAATTGTTAGCCAGGTGTCCCAACAGCATGTGAATTACGCATTATATAAACATAAAATAATGAATGTCTTTTGTGTCCCCTGCAACATTAAAGCAATGCATCTCTTAAGACATTTGCAATTCTAATCCGGTAACATCAATTAAACTAGATGTTCTGTTTTTGTATTAATGTTACAAATGCTCCTAAAGGCTGCAGTTGCTTGTGAACATCACTTAAACTATAATGAAAATTATACATTTTAAAAACTTTTTCCATTAAACAATTGTGGCGCTTTAAGTCATTATAATAATGTCATGATCAATAGTGAGTTATGTCAAACCATTGGATCCAGGACGGACGTTCTCTTGGACGGAAGATGGATTCATCAGCGCTTTGAGGTGTTTGGTGTCTCTGTGCGCCTGGTCCTTTACAGCCAAACTAAAATGAATCCCATAATCACTTTAACGCTTAACGACTTTGTCTCTACATGCGTCTGTTATCACGCAGTTCGCACGGCGCCACGTGTGGCGAACTGATCAGATCAGACCCTCTGAAATCGCTACTCTAAATTCATGACGAACGCCGGTTAGAAACCTCTTTATTGTGTTTGCCGAGCAGGCAGCGTGACGACGGCCGGTCAGCGCACACATTCTCTGTCCCCAGAGGACACGTCCACCCGACTTTGGTGCGTCCCGTGCCATTTGTCTTTCAGCAGGTTGAGCATTTTTCTTTTTGCTGACACGTACTGAATGAATTGCTGGAGACCGCTGAATGACTTTGGTGACCCCCGTGACCCCTCATGCTGTTCAATATGTCACCTATTCCTTGATGAATAGCTCAATATGTTTTCGATGGATTGTATGTTGTGCAGACATACAGGGTTCCTAGATTAGTGCCTCCTAATAACTTCATCTTTCTTCCACCATCAGATTGACATTTGTTTTTTATCTCAAAGGCAATTGGATGGAATTTGCTTCACACATTGATATTATACGTCTAGGCCCATTAACCTGCCAGTGTTGTATTACATTCCTTTTTCTTTTTTTGTGTGAAACCAACTGGAGAGACGAGAGAAGCACCATGAATAAAAGCAAGACTTCCCTCATGCAAACACAGACATTATTAAGTCTCTGCTTAATTCTACATCTGGAGGGCAAGTCAATCTCACTACTTTACGATGTGTTTCGAGACACAACGTGACACTAAATAAAAACTGAATAACTTAATTTCGATTTGCATCGGTGAACCTCAGTAAGAAAAAAACAGATTGAGGGAACAGGCTGGTTGAGATATAAAAATGAAGCCTGTCGTGAATACAAAATTAGCAAAATGTTCAAAAGGTTTGCCAGTGACTTTGTTAGCGGTTAATTATGTTGTTCTTCCAGGCGAGCTGATCTCGTGTATGACTGATATGAGCATGGAAAATGCATGATTCATGACCATTGCCTTCCCCGGAAAATCAATGCACTGAGTTCTGGTGACCCCGACAGCTGCGTTTAGATAACGAAACTCCATTACGGGCAATTTACAACCTAAAAGCACATCCAGATCAAGTAGCCACGATGCAATGATGCATGATGGGTACTGTAATTGCAATTGATGAGTATAGCAAGGCAGGCTGTCCTTCTCCGTCGCCATGGCGGCGGCCACTGGGCTGGTCCGTGACGCTCAGCTTACTAGAATGTGTCGCGTTGGACGAAGATGGAGGAAGACGGAGAATGGAGCGCTGAGAGCGAAAAATCAAACCGCACCAATTTCCAAATGGGTCGCTTCTCTCCACATCGTCCACAGCTGCAGCTTCGGGGCGCCAGAACAACTTCCTCTGTGATTTTCACTGCAGTGAGTCGTGACCCGACACGATTTATGGGCAGGAGGTGGAGGGTCACACATTTACAAACGGTAACATTTGACCCCAAATCCTTATTTCAAATAGTGGTTGTAATAGTGGTAGACAAAAAGAACCAGTCAGCACTAGAGGGTAATGTGATGAATAATAATAACCAATCACTAACTACATTTTTTTATTCATAATAAAATCACCCAATGCTTAAAATCAGACCAGTCAGTGGAAGCTTTTTCATTTCTCTGCAGCCAGTCTGAACCCGCGTCTTCCATCGCGCATTGGCATCTCCGTCGTGAGGCTTCCGTCCGGCCGCTGGAAACGAGCCTACCTGAGGGCATCCGGAATCGGACGCTTGGCACAGATGGTTATGGAACGGTTGTGAAAGGAACGAGAGACGGAGGCCAGTAAAGAGAAGAGTGTTTTGGCGGTCAGAGAGCAGGAATGTGGCCAATGAGAACTTAAAAGACTGTGCGTTAATACACACTTCATACAGCCAAGCTTTCACAACACAGCCTCCAATCTTATGCTCATATTTAGTATGTTTACCTTTCTTTACAAAAAAGAAAAAACTGTTTACCCAGCAGCCCCCGTGTGTGCACACTGCCTGCGTTTTATTGCCGTTGATCGGCCTTCCTGTCCCCACTTAAAACACGCCCGGGGAGCTGCAGGAAGGAGCCGGGCTGTGCTCCAACAAGCGTGATGCTAACTGTGGTGTAATTAGAGAAATGCGTCTGCATGCTTGGCCAACTAGACTAATTAGCAAAGCTTCGCTGAGTTTTCAATCCGTGAGGATCCCGCATGAAGCAAACATAAATATGCTGAAGTCACAGAGGGGTGAACAGATTTGTGCAATTTGTATCACATCAGTTAAACCCAGTATCTCGTAATATGAAAAACATTGGCTTTTTTTTATTACTTTCAACCTGCCGGTCAGCCACGCCTTTCAAACAGCTTCGACTTATCGCTGCAAAGTGACCATTTAGATTTAGCGGCCTTGTATATTTCACCTGGAATCATTATCTGCTTAAAGGTTTTAAGCAAAAAGAAAGTAGAATTTTGTTTTCTGCTATCCAAAATTCTACAAGTGACATATTTCAAATGAGAATTACAGTAAATAAGTGTGTTTTTTTTATATCCGGTTTCCTAAAGGATAGAAATGACTATATCTTCATTTACATGCTATTAGTATTATCACACTAACTTCATTGTATACAGTGATTATAATGAAGAGCTTCTGATATCCGTTGAATTATTTAGCTGCAAGTCGACCAAACCCCTGAATCTCTCATCAGCATCGCTGATTGAGGACCAAACAATAAACCGTTATCTGATAACAATCACCGAATGACAATGTTGTTTGTTAGGCAGCTGATCTAAATCTAACATGAATTTACTTCATAAAACATATAGTATTAAAAGTTATGAAGCTGTTATATTTGTTACAAGTCCTCAGAATTCTGCTCTGCTTTCTCCGACCCAGCTGAAAAGTGAGCACAAAGACTTCATTCTGTAAAATTGTGCCAAGTAAGAAAGAAAAATCCCCATTAAGGAGCACTCAGGCATCGAGCGACTGCAACGCAATGATTAACGTAATTCTACTCAACGCCCAAATATAAAAGCCCCCCAAGCACCACGTTTATGGAATTTTTAGCAACTGAAGATTAGAAGCAGCTTCTTTAGTGCTTTTATTTTAAATCTACTTCTTTCATTTTACTCACTGGCAATTGAGATAAATTGAGTGTTAAGTTTAGAATTTGCTCAACCGAGTGAACACAGCTGTGCTCTGTAGATTGAAGGAGTGGGTCTCACTAGTAACCCAAATATACTCAATATATGAAATGGCCCTCAGTTAAGTAAATTACAATCAAAGATGTGGATGAAGCGAAGACGTTAGCTTGCAGTTTCTATAAAGGTTGCAGTAACTCGTAGTCTTTTTGGCCTGGGGCTGTTTTTCACAACACGACACTCGTCATGTCAGCAGTGAAGGGAAATGCTCGACACACCACCCATCCGTGGGCGTAATGTACAGCGTTTATTGACACTATTGCCTTTGACATATTGCCTGAATGTGGAAATGGGGAAGAGTGATCAGCATCGAGGGTGTTGTCTGAACCATCACCAGCCAACACTTTTCTGTTTCATTTAATCCCTTATTTAACCTGCATTCATTTTGACTGCAGGAGAAAACCGACGCACTCCAAACATTTACGATGCTTACAACGCAGCATCGTCTCAGAATGGTCCACGTGGATGTGTTCAACACTATCTTCTCTTGTTTGCTCTTTAAGAAGAATCCAGCAAACAGCAGCCTGTTCAATGACTCACTGATGACGGTTTCGTTTCCACTTGGGATTCGTCGTCGTCTGCATGCATGCGTGCAGGGCGCAGCATCCGCACAGAGAAGGACTCCAAGGAAGCTTTAGCAGAGATGGAGACGAGACGGAGACGAGATTGGTGTTACTCGTAGTCTCCTCTCAGCTGTGAGAGGCGATCGATCACCGCGATTACTCCTCCGCCCTCAGAGTTTTACACAAGAGGTGGCTCAT